CCCTTGGAGGTTACAGCGGTGGGAGGACAAAATCAGACCAGCTCCCCTCCGCTCATCGGGGGGGGGTCACAGTTGACGGTCTCAGAGGGTTGTTAATTCTATTATCCCCGCCTGAGAGGTCCCTGTCAGGGCTGGGAGAGAAGAGGTGGGGTCGGCTAGATAAAAGGTGAAAGGAGGTTGAGAGGCGTGATTATTTTGGCATGGGAAGTGATCACATACCACACATGTCTTTATCTCGTTGACTCATGTTTACTCATGAAGTCTGTCTCTTCTCTTTAACTCCCCCTCACTCCCTGTCACATACTCACAGACATGCTTACAGTTTAGTCAATATGGCCGAATAATTAGAAAGCTGTATTTTTCTTCTCAATTCCGATACTAAGTACTGGATGATATGACCTAAAATCACCATTAATAATCACTACAAGTTTGTGAAATGTTGTGAAGTATTTTTTAATACATAAATGCAGGGTATTTAATTTCTTCTACTTGATTAACACAGTACCACTTAGAGATTCTTGACATTTGGACTGAACTGGACCACCTACATGCCCTGCTGCCCTCTTAGCCTCGTTTTGATTTCTGCAATGCATACATCTTAAGGGTTCAGTATGCTTGAAACAAACTAGTTCATTCAGCATGACTGTATAAAAGAAGATCTGAACACTGTGTTCAGAGTGTTTCAAGGTATGCTATGGCTATGGGTGCACCAAAAACTCCCTAGAAATACACCAATCATAGCACAAGGCTAGGGACAAAAACAATTGGCCTACACTTTTTAAAAAGAGAATGAGATATACATTTTGCTCAAATGTTCAAATGATTATCTTTACATTCAAGCTTCAGTCATATCAGAAGTATCAAAAAACTTCACACACATGACCCTGAACATAAGCTACAACAATGAAAGTAGGCCAAAGTATAACAGTCCAAAATGCACTCCTATACAGAAAAAAACCCCAATAGATTAAAATGTTCACTCACTGGTGTCAATAAGGTAAACAGCACAAAAAACAAAACACATCTATCTTTCAACAATTTCTAGAAAATATATTTTAACTTTTTCTATAGCCTGCACTCCCCATGTGAACAGACAGGTAGATAAGTGCTCCACGAGTAAACACCAGTCACTATATGGGTAGTTTCTGTGCACTGCTACTGAATTCTTGGTACAGCTATATTTTCTTTATAGGGCAGATCCAAGCAAGTACTCAGACGGATTGTTGCTCCCTGTCTGAAAAGGCCTTGAGACGCACCTGATGTGTGTTAAAAAACATCTTGCAGTATTTACACTGCCGCTGGTCAAGTTGACAATTAATGGCAGGCCAAAACAGCTCTCAGACCACCGGCAAATCTTCCGGTGCTCCCGATGTGACGCTAGTAATGGGGACTTTTGGTCGGGCATACATGCTGTTGTTTTGCGTTAAAGTTAAAATCATGCATCATAGCATACTTTGTTACCCCTGCACATCTCTGGCCAATCGCTAGCTATAGTGTCCATGGTAAGTGGATTGTCTGTTTCAGAAAGTTAAGACACTGTTTGATGGTCTGAAAACCACTTTGTTTAGAGAATACTAAGGCCCCTAGCCTGTCATAATAGAAGTTTTGCAATAGTTTTTTCTTTGTTTGTGAATGTGGAAGGGTTTTCAGTACACAAACCCCCAACCCAACCGAATGAGGCAGTTGGCTGCTCACCAGACTGTAGGTTCTGCTTGAGGTTTCTGCCTGTTAAAATTTAGTTTGATATAACATATTTTTTGTCTGACTCAGGACCAACTTATATGATGTGCACCCTGTTGCTGTTGATGCATCCATTTTTGTTTTGTGTGTGTGGATGTTTATGACGGTGCACGTTGCTGTGCGTGTGTTTGAGTGTCAGTCTGTATGATTGTGTTAGTCCTGGCAGACTGTGCAGCCATAGCTGGCGTGGATTATTCCACTTGGCCAGACAGATTTGGCCTTGGCATGACAGGCTGAGGATATGTGTCCCCTCTCTGTCGCCCCGATAATACTATCTGCAAATGGAAGACTTAATCTGCTGCCACTTATTGTGTTAATAATATGCATCAATGTTTCTCATCCTAAAAATAGTGAGGCTATTAATCATTTCTTCAAACATTTTTTGATGGGCGTGCGAGCATTGTGATCATGAAACAATGATTTGACAAGTTTTTAAACCCCTTTATAAGTAATACATAGACGAATGCTCACCAGGTTCAGACGGGGACATTCAGGAAAATTACAGAACAGCTGCAGACAGTGAAGACTGTGACTCATTCTCTCTCCCTCTGTCTGTTCCATCCTCACTCCCAACTAAATCCATCCTCTTCTTTCTCTCCCTGTCTCGTTAATGACATTGACAATTAGCAGTGGCGTCACCGGAGATATAGAGTGTATTTAATGAGGGATGAGCCTTTACGGTCTGGAGACATGCTCCCCCAGGAGAAAAGTTTCAAATAAACAGCTGTGAAGTGGCTGTAGCTAATGAGTGCTGCCAGCAAAAACATGCCTAAAATCAATAATTTGGCTTCATTGTTACAAAGAACATTGTTTTTAATTGTAATAAGTATTTATGTACAGTAAATCCGTCACATTTTAATTTTCCAAATATTAAAAATTATGTATGTATGTATTTCTATTTAATCATTTTAATATGAACAATTTAAGGATAATGTTAAGATGATTAGCCCTATAATTTGAAGCGGACAGTAAAGCTATTTACCATATAATGAGTATCATTCACATATTTTTATCACATATTTTTAACACATGGAGGAGATGCTAAGCCCAAATCACATTAGCATCTGTCGGCACCCTGCAAGAACAGTTATAATTATTTTTCTTGTTTGGTTTAAGTGTATTACATCTACAGTAAGGAAAGCAGGTGTTAGTAATACAATTATAAATGGCTAATTTCCATTTAGCTCTTTCAGTTTCAGAGTTTTCCTGGTATTGGGTGCATGCTGGCTCACTGTCACACTATCGTGGCTTACTGGGAGAGCTGATTAAAGCAGAGCAATCGGTAACGTTATTAGTAATACCTGTGCTTTTCCTGCTGTGACCAAAATGTCTGTTTCTCTAGTTTTGTCTCTTGCTCTGTTGCAAGGAAAAAACTAATTAAAACTTTAAATGAAATCAGGGTTCAATAAATTATCTGTATTGAATCCACACAAGACACATTTTTTGTCAGTAAAATGTATCATTAACACATAACTACTTAGGCAGGTTAGTGCTTAGGCACAGTGGTGCTTTAACCTAAATTCTAATGTGCTAACGACATGATGGCATGCTTACAATGGCAATGCTAACATGCTGATGTTTAGCAGGCATAATTTACCATGTTCACCATCTTGGTTTAGTGTGTTAGCATGCTACAGTTGCTAATTGCAATACCTGCACACTGGAATCGCAGCTCCCTTTTATTTTTATCAGCAACGTGTAAACCAACTACAGGTCTTCCTCAGGCAATAGTTTTATACTATAGAAACTATATCTCTACTTATTATTTATTGCATGATGTATGTGTTCTGTAGAGGCAACTGACACTTTGACTTGTCATAGAGTAAAAGCACAGGTATTACTGATAACGTTAACAATGGCCTGTTCCATTCAAGTGTAACAGTGGTGTCCTGAAACTGGAACATTGTTAACATTATTACTTACACCATATTGTACAATATGTCAGTCTTCAACCCAGCAGTGTTAGTATTATTTTATTACATGTTCAGTGCTTGTTGACAGTTTCCACAACACTTGTGTTTGATGAGTCAAACTGTCCACTGTTATAAAGATCTATTGAAGTGATCTGTCTGAGGTAGCTGTATGCCTCTTTGGAAATATAGGGGGAAAATAGCTTCAAGGAAAATACGACCTGTTATAGAATATTTCTTAGGGTGCTTAATTGTTATAACAGGGAAAGGTAAGACAGGTCAAGCTTAGAGTCATTAGCTGACCCTACAAGTGTTCACTGACCTTAAAGCTCTAGTTATTTCTCACATATAACTGTCCTTGTTAGGGAGACAACAGTTACAGACTAATTGGGGAGAGACAGTAACTCGAGTGTCAGGCTAGCAGATATCCGTGTTCTCTGGGAATCTGGCAAGGTTGAGTCTTACAATAATGTTTACAAGAACTGGTTTTACAGATTAGAGTACAGTAACAGATTCCAATATGATGTATATTGGAGTCTAAACACCAGATAGATTTGTTGTTCTAGGTTAAGGCCAGTTAAGATGACCTAAAAGGGTAAATGTACAGGAACTAGCGGGAAGACAGAAACATGAAAGGGATTAAAAGATGGTGTTGGCACTTGACGTATTCACATGTTGTTTGCTGGCACTGTATCTGCTCGGCCAGGCTCAAGAAAACCTGCTATGTTAAGTCTTCATCAGTCTCCGAAACTTATTCATCACAACTGAACCTGGCTCACAATATGTCTTCAGCACGACCCAATAGTAAACTCATTTCGTAAAACCAGCTGTTGTTCAGTAATGGTTCAGAATTTAAACTCTGTCTTTGTCTTGTGTCTTAAATTAAACTGCCTGTACATATTCTTTGACTGCCTGCTTAGAGAAATCAGAGAAAAAGCTCTGAATTGATCACATTTCAGTCTGGTGTCGCTACAGTGGTGAAAGATTTTAACGATATTTGGCTTGTAGGCTTCAGTTTTCTTTACATCATATGTTTATGTGTGGTCTGTGCAGCAGTTTTTGCTGGGTACTAGTCAGCACTTTTTGTGCATGTTGTGATTTCTGAGTTTATGTTAAATTTTCAGTTAAAGTCAAGTTACAAATCAGTCAGAGAAGGAAGAATAAATGATTTGGTAGAACTATATTAAATACATTTTAGCAGGCTAAAGGGCCATAAACCTGGTTGTGACATCATTGGCAGTTATTATATCTCATGAATACTGAATGAAAGACCAACAGAGCATGTAATACTCATATCTGTTGCATCTACAGTATAAATTAAAAATGTCCTTATTTTCTTTCTCTCATCAGAGTGTGTGGTGTGTCTGACGCTGTCAGGGTGCCATGGCTCTGGTTCAGGCACTACCTGTGACCGTGACTGACCACCCCAATCCAGGTCTCGACGTCCAGCAGTGCCGGCCGCTATCGTCCCACTCCCCCTCAGGCCCCTGTCCTGACCCCTGTGGTCCTTGCAGCTCTGGGACAGCCATGGGTTCTGTCAGCAGTCTCATATCAGGCCGGACATACCAGGAGAGACACTGCCGGGCCGCCAGCGAATTCACCTCCAAGTCACGCCGCTCCACGCCGGCTACCAGCTGTTTCCGGCTCCAGGATAATACCCTCCGAAGCGGGAGCTCCCTGGAGCAGCTTCTAGTCATCAGCAACCAAACGCATCCCCAGGCCCAGGTTCTGCCTCCACCGCTGCCCACCAAGAAGCAGCCCCGGCCTGGTAACTCTGCTGGGGCAGCCAGTGGAACAGTTTCTGGAGTAGTAGGTGGTGGCAATAGTGGGAACTTTGGGTATGTGAGCGATGAGGTGGTGGTTGGAGACTGGAACGACAACCCGGTGCTGGCAACTACAAGTCCGTGCAGTGACTCGGAGGAGCAAAGGGACAACAGGACTCTGAATGGCAACATTGGAGGGCCTCCTCCCAAACTCATCCCGGTGTCCGGACAGTTAGAGAAGGTAAGAGGAGTACATTATAGAGCCAGGCCGATCTATTTAGCTTATTGCTGATGTATCAGGCTATTTTGTATGGCTGATAAGTAAAAAGAACCTGCAGTGCAAAAACGCCAAACCACATTTAGATACAGTGTATTCATTTCATGAGCACGCTGATAAAGATTGTGAGATATTGCTGAGGTTGTTTTGAAAGATCTCGAAAAAAGCTAGTGTTTTTTTATTTTAAATTGCTATTGTTATCAGATTTTTTTTTAACTCTTAATCCTCAATTGTCTGTATGTGCCCTAAAAACTTCTATACAATAGGACAGACTCTAAGAAATGCTATTTATTTTACATGATTTTAAAACTTTTTTTAATATTACACTCTCTGACATTAAATATCAAAGCAAAGACTTTTTTCTCTGCTTTCCTTGGAATATAGACTGTAATCACGAAACACATAAGAAAACATGAGCATTTGTAACATGACATGTTTTACAGCTGCTGTCTAATCGGCTATGTATTTCCATCGATCCAGAGGGAATCACAGGCTCAGATGATTGTTTGAAAGCTACTCACCTTGCTTTCAGTGACATATTTAGTGAACCCTGAGCAAGATCATTAAAAAAAATGCTCACAAAACTCTTGAGGAGCTTTTCACCCCCTCTTGTCTCTTCTCCCTCCTCTTTGTTTCTTTGCCCTTTAATCAGATTTTCTTTGTCCTCTCCTCTTTCACTTTCTTCCTCTCTTGCCTGTTTTTCTATCTTAGATGATAGGAAAATCATTAAGAAAATTGTTTAATGAAGCCCATGAATATCAATTAAACCAAGTTCAATTAATCAGAGCCTTGAGGGTTGACCTGCCAGCATATCACTCACCCCTGAGTTTTATTCAGCCATTGCTAATTAGTGCAGCTGAGCTTTTATCAATCACTAATGCTGTTTTTATTATAATTTTGCACTTTCAGAACATGGAGAAAGTGCTGATCCGTCCTACAGCATTCAAACCTGTCATTCCCAAGAATCGTCACTCTGTCCAGTACTTGTCACCCCGGCCAGGGGGTAGCAGTCTGTCAGAGAGCCAGGCTAGCCTCAACCTCCTGCTGCCCCTTGGAGGATCCAACAGTGTCGGCGGAACGAATGCCATCGGAGGGAGCAGCGGTTCCAGCTCTGAAGGGAAGCGCAACTCCTTCTGCGGAGGCCGCAATGCTCGGAGCAGCCAGTCCTGCTCCATGTCAGATTCAGGGAGGAACTCCCTCTCCAGCCTCCCTACTCACAGCAGCACAGGCTACAGTCTGGCCCCCAGTGAGGGCTCAAGCTCTGGGTCTGGCTCCGGGGGCCAGCTGGAGCCCGTGTCGGGCCTGGGCCGGAACACTTCAGGTGGAAGCGGGAGCCATGGCCACACTAACTCAGACAGTGGACGTTCCTCATCCAGCAAGAGCACAGGCTCGGGGTCGCTAAGTGGCCGTGGGCAGCCCCTGTCGGACAGCGGGTCCTGTGGCCACTCGCCGCCACCCACAGAGGGCTATGAGGTGGTGGTGAGAGAGCTCGAGGAGAAGCTGAGGGAACGAGACCTGGAGCTCCAGCAGCTCCGGGAAAATCTGGATGAGAATGAAGCTGCTATCTGCCAGGTTATAAAAAAACACCCAATAAATAGCTTGATGTGATGTTAGTGCAGATGAATTACTAACCTCTGACCTTTCACACATCTTTTGCTCTGAAAGGTGTATGAGGAGAAGCAGCGTCGCTGTGAAAGAGAGATGGAGGAGCTGCGACAGAACTGTGCAACAAAGATGAAGCAGGCTTCTCAGAAGGCCCAGAGGGCACAGCAGGTGCTACAGTTACAGGTATGCTAAATATTTAAAAAGCTTTTAAAACATTGACACAGACAGAGATTTGTGTGGGGAAAATGAAAATGAAAAATAGAGTTTCCCCCCCAAAACTGATCTGATCTGTTAGGAAGAAAAACATTTCTTGAAATTATTTCATTTTTTTAGTAAGAAGTGCAGCAGCTCATTTTGACTTTATCATTTTGCAGGAGTTGATGTCTTATATCAATTTGACATGAACATCTAAGCTAACCTACTAAGCTGAAAATTTGTTATGTACATAGAGATCTTCACATTATTGCTTTGCTAGTCTTGTGCTTTAGTTGTGGGTATGGAGATTCTTTCTTTGAGGGTGCATGTCTTATCTAGATCGACATATCTGTTTTATAAAATATGGAACTGTGTCTGTCATCAGGTATTTCAACTACAGCAGGAGAAGAAGAAGCTGCAGGAGGACTTCTCCTCTCTGCTGCAGGACAGAGAGACACTAGAAAGGAGGTGTGCCACCATCCAGAGGGAGCAGACGCAGCTGGGCCCACGTCTGGAAGAGACAAAATGGGAGGTGAGTCAGACACTTGGTGTTTGCTGTACGTTGTTGCCTACCATTCTTGCTGTGGTTGACTCACTAATAAAAGCATAAAATGCTCCTAGAAAAAGGGTGTGAAGTCAGAGGTGATACATAGTAGGCTTAAATTAACTTCATAATCTCATAAACCCGAAGGAATTTTAGGTTTACCTTTAAGGAGCAAGCAAATCCAAAATGTCAGAATTTAATCTGCCATAAGATACAGTTTGTTCTGTATTTTCAGCATTTCCACCTGTCTCTGTAACATGCTCTTCTCTTGTCCCTTCAGGTGTGTCAGAAGTCAGGAGAGATCTCCCTCCTGAAGCAGCAGCTGAAGGAGATCCAGTCGGAGCTCAGCCAGAAGGCCGGAGACATTGTGGTGCTGAAGGCCCAGCTGCGAGAAGCCCGTTCTGAACTGCAAGCCAGCCAGGCTCGATCCCAGGAGGCCCAGGCGGCCATGCGGACGCGATCTCTTGAGCTGGAAGTCTGCGAGAATGAACTTGTGAGGCGAAAGAGCGAAGCTGAGCTGCTCCGGGACAAAGTGGGACGTTTGGAGGAGGAGTCAGCCCGCCTCCGTGACACTCTGTCCAATCACTGTGGACTCTCTCTACCTGGAAATGCAACCATGAAGGGACAATGCATGAGCCTCTCCCTCCAACAGGGTAGAAGTGTGGCAGGAAGGGGCGGTCCCAGTCCCTGTGTGTACCGCGATGGAGAGGAGACTCATCTGGTCTGGGGAGGGGAGAGTGATGAGGCCAAGGCACAGAGGCAGAATGCAGAAACAGTGCTGGGACTCAGACAACAGGTACATGTTTTTTCCTGCAGCTTTGAAAATGAAACCGTACAGGAGTGGAAAGCAACTAAGTACATTTACTAAAATACCGTACTTAAATAGAGTTTTGAGGTACATGTACATGTAGTATTTCCATCTTATGCTTTATTATACTTATACCATCTTATACTACATTTCAGAAGAAAATATTTACTTACTAAAGTACTTAATACTTTTCACTCCACTACATTTATTTTACACTTGTAGTTATTACTTTGCACATAGGTTGCATTGTTAGAGATGAAACTACAAAAAAGTAAATAAAGTAGTTAAAGAGGTGGTATTATGCTCATTTTCAGGTTCAAAATCCTATTTAGGGGTTGTACCAGAACAGGTTTTCATGGTTTAATTTTCAGAAAACACCATATTTTTATTGTCATACTGCACATTGCTGCAGCTCCTCTTTTCACCATGTGTGTTGAAGGCTTCATTTTAGCTATGGAGTGATGCATCCCTTTGTTGGGAGTTGCACATGCGCAGTTGCTAGTTAAGGACTACTAGCCAATCAGAAGCAGAGAAGGGCGGGTCAGCGAGAAGCCCATAAACAGCTTTGGTTCAGCTGTAAATGTTGCCAACCAGCTTGGAAACATAGACTGGAGCAAGAGTTTCAGAGTGGTGAGTTATTAATCTGTAACAAATGTATTTTTCATCCATAAAGTTTTAACCGAGCTCCGTCTCTACATCACAGTAACAACTTTATGTCCATTGACTGCCTGGAGGGTAGCTAGTGTTTGGAAGGGAGAGGAGAGGAGTGTGCTGCAGGCCAGTGCTTTTCCACCTGTGTTTTTGAGGGCGTGTCGGAGTTGCGGCATGGTGAACGTTATATGAGGCGCATTTAGCTTTCATCCATGTGTCGTCACAGGGATAAAAGGGAAACGGCTGGACTACAAATGAGCTGTTTTCAGGCAGTGTAGAGCAGAGTTTTCTGTGGGAGATGGGAACTCCCTTTGGGCTGGACTTTGGGCTTTTTCACTTTGCAAAACTATTACATTGACAAAAAAGGTGTAAGGGGGGAAAAAGCCAAAAAGCAAAATACCACCTCTTTAAAAGTATCTCAAACTCGTCTATTAATGATTAAATGATCATTAATCTCTTTTTCTCAGGTGGACAGGCTGAAGGCTGAACTCATGTACGAGAGGAGGACTAGTGAGGAGCAACTTTCACGGTTTGACGATGAGAGGAGAGTGTGGCAGGAGGAAAAGGAAAAGGTAAGAAAGGAAGACTTTTGGTGATTAATGTCACTCTTTGTCATTTTCATCCAATGTCATAAATGTCAATATAGACAGGGTTATTGAACAAATTTGAAATCTTACCTTGATCCTCCATAACTATTTACTTACGTACTGTACTTCCCTCCACCCAGGTAATCCGCTACCAGAAACAGCTGCAGCAGAACTACATCCAGATGTACCGCCGAAACCGGGACCTTGAGCGAGTGATGAGGGAGCTGAGTCTGGAGCTGGAAAACAGGGACATGGAGGACTATGATGTCCACAGTGGCAGCAATGACATCCACTTTGAGGAAATCACCGCCACTGAGATCTAAAAACACACACTTACAGTAATATGTGCACAGAAACCTGGAAACAACTCACAAAAGACTCTGAGGATGTGAACCAAGCATTGAACTCCAGGCCAAATGCTGCACCATCTTCCACGTGGCTTTTCCTGGACCACTGAGCAAGCACTCACCACATGTCACTGTCAAAAGGGAGATCTCCCAAAGGTACATTCTTACAAGGTGTCCCCGCTTTTAATGGGTTTTATTCCACTATAAAGGCAACACAAAGACTTATTTCCTTCTGTGGGAGCAAAAGCAGTGAAAAAGTGTTTCTTTCTCAATCATGTTCAAATCAGGGTATTGAAAAATCTACGGGAACTTAAAGCAAAAAATCTTTACTACACGCACAGCAATCTGGTGAAAGCGCAGTCACACCTTTCTTGGTAGCACACAAGGTTAAACACCCGTACACCAGCATGCATGTAATGATCATGACAGTAGTGCCATCAACAAATCCGGCGGCTATTAATGATGACCTCATCACCCGTCCAAACTGTGCTCATTGACAACCGCCACTCTAGTCCTCCGAGTAACTGCTAAAGGGAAAATATTACACCATCAGTTTGTATTTCATAGTGTTCTGACGATAAACAGTATATTTAATTTTACAAATTATAAAAGGATTTCCTCAGCAGTGTTTATTTGAAGAAGAATGTATTGTGGCTATTACCACTCCACAGAAATGCAGTATAAATGATCATCACTGGAAATGAAAGAATCTGCTCACCAAGGGAAACACGGTATCATTTTGCACAACTTTCCCCCTCTCTGATCGGGACACAGCTGTCTGTCTTGTGAAGCAAATCATCAAACTTAAACAAACCAGTTTTGACATTTATTTCTTGGTTTGCTTACACATGGACATCCTGTTCTGTCGCTTCCCCAAACCCTGCAGAGGACACAGAAACCAAACGTTTAACTTAAATGCTCTATTTCAACGCTGCTCATGTCTTCTAGACCACCAACAGTCACATAGTTGCACTCAATCAATGTGTCAACTCATTTAGACAATGCAGCAAGCTCTGACAAACATTTACATTTTATAATTATGTAGCGCTAGGAAGCAGATCACAGCATCTCTCTTTCCATCTCTGTCTCTTTTGTGTGCTATATCAGGAAACAAAAAATGGGGCTCTTAGTTTGGTTGCAACGTCACTGAGAAATTTAAGCCGGTGTTTGAACTGTAGGCATGCTTATTCAGAGTTTCCGTTTATTCCCCTTGTTTCCTATTAGTGGTCTTTATTTAGCTTTTGGCAGCCCAAAGCCAAATAACACTTTTAAAGTCTTCCTAGTCTCCACTGGACTGATGTTCACTGACTCCTATACAGGTAACGGGACTGGCATGTCTGCATGTCTTTGTTATATCAGATTTCAGAAGAAGCCTGTTCCGATGTAATAGCGCTAGGACTGAATGTCCTCAAGACAGGTCGGCTGTTACAGCCCTAAATGGAAACTGGTGTGGTTAAAGCATGTTAACATTTGAAGCTGTGAGTTGATGTTTTCTCACAGTATATGCAGAGTTGTGTGTAACACTGAGCATGGCAAGTCTCTACAGGGGAAAAAAGTATCGGGCTGAGAACTTTTATTTTACAAAGAGTCTATATCAAGGATAACAGTTAAATGGAAATCTATATACTGGAGGAGATGTTGTATATTTTTTTATATATAGCACTTGAAGATATTTTGTTGTAGTACTGGTATAAGTGTGGGTTTAATATACAAAGTATAAAGACTTGATATATATAGACTTATATATATCACATACCAAGATTTCAAATGATAGTTCAGTTATAAATGGAGGTAGCAGCATAGAAAGAGTGCACCTTATACTGTAATGCATGAAAATAATCTGTGACACAAACCTACACTCTAATGACCAAACTTTGATAAAGCAGTTGGGAGGTTTTTATCCTGTGCTCAGTTGTGACCTGCTGACTCTCCATTTTGATTGATCCGTCATTTTATCGTCAGCATCATAACATCACACAAAAAACGTCTTCGTTGTTGGGTTTTGTGCACGTCATTAGCTTATACATGCATGAGACAGGTTATTTTTGAGTGACTTCTTCATTAAGTTGAGGTCGGAGCTGAAACCAAGAAAGCGTTAAGTTTCCTACATTGGGAAATTCAATCAAACCCCTTTCAGAAAATGTGATCAGTATATTTGATTGGTCTACATTTTGCATGATATTACCATATTCACTGTGTTCTGGGAGGTTTTGTGGAATATTAAAAGTCTGCACTGTGCATCAATTGTTAACAAAAAGCCACGGGAAGTGACTCTGAATGGAACAAGTTGGGTTTGTCCAACCATATTCAATTTGTTAACCAGACCTAGACTGTTACTCGCTCACCACAGATGCAGCACAGGTGCAGATAAACAAGCACAGGTGTTGCTAACCAAACTGACACCCTCACTGTAAAATGTGCATCCCAGTCTTCTGTTTTTTCCCCTCATATCTCCGCTCTCTTCATCTTAGCATAACCATTTTCTGTGTAAATATGTAAAACACTAAACAATATAACAGAGTGACATTGTCTTTTATTTAGACAAAATATCTATTTCAAATGTAGCCACTGTGACTAGACCAAAGCAACGTAACACTTCTTTTATTTTTTGTGGCATTTTCTCATCCTTTTGTGTGCATTTTTAAAAAAAGGTTACTTACGTTGTGTCTCCAGTAATTCAGAAAGTATGTAGTTGTCATGTATATTTTTGTGTACATTTCTTGTACAAATGACTGTTTTTAATTAAAGAACAAGTTGTCACACCTTAGAATTCAGTTGATTGAACTTGTTATTTTACCTGTAAAGTATACTGGATGAGTGTTTACTGCATTGAAGTAAATATCTGAAGTCCTTTAAAATAACTCAAAGCCATAGACACACTCAGTTTCATCTTTAAATTTAATTGCATGTCTAAATAGAAACATTTCACCTTGAGCTTTTCTAGAACTTATCAAAACCAAGTTCATGAAAAATTTGTGTAAAAGTGTTTTCCTAACTGGCCGTCTGCAGAAGTAAGGCACTATGCACACTATATTCCAGTTACCTTGCTGCCCATATCTCCTCTACCCTACTTTGATTCAAACTGTGCCACTGGCCTTCATGTCCTGCATTTATCATTGACATGTGTTTCCAACTCCTCCACATGTCTACATAAACTCAGTCCACAGCGTGGTGTAATTAAGCCTCTAAAGTGGCGGATTTCTCCAGAGCACAAGCACTTCTGCCAGAAAACAGCACAAAAATACTGAGCAGCAATTTGTAATAATCTCCCCAGACATCCACTAAACCCAAACTATCAGTTTTGACATAATACAGGGGTTTAATCTGGGTATAAATCTATAAATCTCATAACGCAGACTGGGGTAATCTCCCTCTGGCAGGCCTACGGGGCTGCTGCTGGGCTGAGATGCTCCAACAGTGCAGACCACTGGCTCCACAATGAGACGGTGCTCGGAGGTCACGGCAAGGTTGCCACGCATCGAACAGTGGCACAATTTCAACCAAGGAGGAGTTCATGAACCTCACAATCTTATCATAAAACAGATATTACTGACTTTTTGTCTAGTTAATGTGCAATGAATGCGTTTAGTAAAATATTTGCTTAAAACACTAAGAATGTTATGAAAGTCTTGCAGTTGCAACATTTAATATCTTACATTTCATCGTAGCAAAAGAGATTTATAACAATCTTTATCCTGATAAATAATCTACTGAAGTCTTAAAAACCTGCTTGTTCACCTTTCTCTTTGACATGTTTCCTGCTACTTATGGTCATAACTCTGCCTTTCATAGGACAAATGCTTCTGTGCATCCCTTTATCTCCACTATGGCCAGAGATCTACCTGGCCCATATTTTCCCTTCTGGAGTGAAACCTGTAGTTTATTCACTCCCACGGGAGTTGCAGGTTTTTGGTGACCTTCATGTCTCAGTACAGTGTGGCTGTGAGGCACACAGAGGTTAGTCAGCAGTTCTCCTGGGGCTAGTTGGGGTGGTAGAGACCTTGGGGACCTTGACCACAAAAACCATCGGGTCTTTGGTCTTGTTGCTGAATGCGCGGCGAATTACATCCACGGCGTGCTGATGAGTTACTCCCTGCAGACTCTCGCCGTCCACGGACAACAGCTCATACCCTGCCTGCAAATGCAAACACACGTGAAAGTGTGTTCAACATGAAAAAAATCTGAGTAAGATTATTATCCATATTTCATGATTATATATATCTTTGTATGTTCCTCCCTCTGTAGCTCCTTTTTCTGTAGCAATTTGTCTCTTTCCAGATCAACATTATAGTTTCCATAAATCTGCAGTGATTGTGTCCCTTAGCAGGAACCTGATTTATGCCAGAGAGAATTGGGGCTCTCCTGTTCCTTTGATATATTCACACTGAAGGCCGTCACAAGTGCACATATAAAGTTTACCCTTCAGCATGAGGTTGTTGAAAGAAGAACATATAGAGACACATACGCACACACACACACACACACACACACACACACACACACACACACACAGTTGGGACAGTTTTGTTGCTCTTTCCTGCAGGATGCGAGCAACGAGTGGCAAAACTTAAGAGCCCAGAGGAGAGGAACTTCCTCTGATGTCATCAGTGTTAGCCGAGGATGCACCTGCCTCATGCGCTCAACCTCAGTGAAGGTTAGCAACACATAACACAGAAACACGCAAGGCCGAGGCCATTGTTGTATCTCCACCAATCACATATTTTTCCCTTTCCCTTTTCCTTTCCAGTCATTAGACAAAATAAGTAGTCAGCCCAGTCAATCTATTATGGGCCAAAAATATTTGGGCAGTACAGGAGGATGGGATCTGTGCCGCCCTGTGTCCTGACAGGTTTTCTTGCAGCTCATCACGCAGTCTGGTGTTCACCAATAACCTAGCCTCCGTGAGAACAGTATCAAAAGATTTAGATCCATTTAACCAAAGAGGAGATTAAAAGTGCTTTTTCATTTTTGAAAAGTAATTTATTTGAATTAAATAGATCCCAACCTAATCTGCCCCATCCTCTTTACGGCCATTTATGGAAGCACATTTATGAGGTTTCCTCTTTTCTAGCCAATGGACGTCACAATCCAAAAATAACATGGACTGTAAAAAATTACTACAGCTTGCATGGAAGGGAATTCGGTGAAGTGGTTTACCAGGCCAAGTAAATTCAACAAGGCTGTTTATCAAAAGAAAGGAGAAGCATTGGCTGTGTGTATTATTTATTATAAGTAGACATGCATTCATACACACAAACAACAGCATTGCACCTCATTATAAATGAATTATTAGTTAGTAATTGTAAAATTCTTAGTAAATATACCATAAACATGTTCACTGATTTCTGGCAGGAGGCTGTGGTTCATTAGGACCAAAACCTCACGGCATAAGAACAGTTGATTTTTATCTGCAGCTTGCCTCATCAACAAGGCCAAGGACCCCCACTGTTACTGAATGCTAACGTCAGTATGCTAACATGCTCAGAATGACAATGCTAACATGCTGATGTTTAGTAATGTTACCACGGTCATCATCTTAGTTTAGCTTGTTAGAATGCTAACATTTGCTAATAAGCACTGAAAACTAAGTGTAGCTGATGCTGATGGGAATGTCTTTAGATTTGCATTTACATAAACCAAAGTATTTATCACTTTGTAATTTTGATGTGATGATGGCGCTAGAGGAAAAGTTAAAGGATCACCAAAGTTATTACAGTCCATCAAGGAGAACACATGTCAAATCTCATGCCAATCTATCTAATAGATATTTCACTCAAAGCCACAAATTTCAACCTGCTGGTGGCGCTAGATTAAAAGTCAGGGGATCACCAAAGTCTTTAGGTGTGGACCATGGCTATCTGTACAAAATTTCATGGCAACTTATCCAATAGTTGTTGAGATATTTCACTCTAGACCAAAGTGGTCAACTGACTGACCATCTAAAATTACCATCCATGGAGTCTCATTGCTAACGTGGCTAGGGACCAGTAACTCTGCATAATCTGCATAACACAGTGTTAACAGTTTTTATAAGGACTAGTAACAGTAGTTGCAATGGTAAACTGTTTTTTTATAAATTGGGTAAACCAAACTTTTCCACAGACAAGCCTACACGTTGAATAGGTAGGTCTTCTGTCACATGTTGCACTACTTACCACGCCCTCTTACACAGCCAGTTAAATGCAGGCCCGTGACACACTCATGTCCAGATTTCCGCTGATAAAAGCAGGTGGCGGAGTGTAATGAACAGGAAAGACACATACAAAACAACATTCTTCGCAGATTACATGTTATCATGTGGGTCTAAGGAGACAGGATGCATGTTAACACCAAGCTGCCCTGGTCTCACTTCCTTCAGCAGAGTAGGGGGAGATATCACTGAAACAGGAAGCTGATATGGGCGAGCTGACATGTCTAGTTGCGAGGTGTGAGGTGGAGGCAACAGACAGCAGTAGGGTGTATACAGCTGTGTCTGAGGCCACTAACCAACAACTTCTCTGTCTTTTGGGATGTCATTGATGAGTATGTTGGTATGTCGGTCTACCACTTTTAAGCCAGACTGAAATATCTCTTCAACTTTAGTATTTAGTACAGACATTGATGGTTCTCAGAGGATATATCCTAATGAATGTCACGATCCCTTGACTTTTCCTCTAGCACCACCATCAGGTTGACATTTGTGTTTTTTTAGTGAAATGTCACAACAACTATTGGATGGATTACCATTAAGACATTAATGTTCTCCTCAGGATGAACTGTAATAACTTTCATGATCCTCTTTTCCTAACCTTCAGGTCAAATCTTTAATTTGTCTAATACTTCAGTTAGGACTAAATACTTGCAAAACTGTGTGGTGCTTATGTGGGTGTGAGCATGGGCATGTGTGTGTACGGGGTATGGACAAGGAAAGTTCTTAAAAGGCTGAGCAGATACTGGACCCCCCCCCCTATGTTAGACACTAATCTGGCATTAGACCTGGGTAGCAGTTGTAAATTGATAGCTAGCTGTTAGGAAGCACATGCAAATTAACCCACACAAACACACATGTGTACATAGGTAACCTATTACTGCAGATATACATTTAGTTTCACTTAACACACGCATCTTAATGCAGGTTTTGTTTTAACACTGTACTTTTGACTCTGGTTAACTGTTGCGAATGAGTGTGTGTATCATGTATGTTTAAGTGAACCAGGCCAAGACCAAGGACGACTGTTAAGTTACTGTGCAGTCCATATATTACCAATGCATTAGCAGAACAGCACCTGTGTACCTCATCAATAATGGAGGTGATGGGCTACTTGAGATGGCTTTCCACTCATCTCCTCTCCACTTCTCATTGCACACTTTCAACCTCATGAAGACTCTTACTGATAGCAACAACTCATAACCACAGGGACGGGCGGACGTCAGGTACTTAAAATACACACCAACCAGACATCTAAACGTGTTTACCACATGTTGTCTCATTTTACTTCAAGGCTAAGAATCTGAATTTTTCACTTTTTTAGCCTTTATCACATTGAATTAACATACGTTTTTGTAATATTTTGAGGTGTTTCTGCTGTGTACTGTCTCTGCCATGCTCACCTTCAGGGCCTCATTTGTAGATGCAGCTCCCCCAGGGAAGATTTTCTCAATCTTTATCATGGGCTGGACTCTAGACTCCATACCTCCAGAGATACTAATACCTGTAAACACACAGGGAAATAATACAATTATTGTACTGACAGTACCAGATTCCTGTATTCAAACTAGTCTAATAGTTTATATACTCTCTCTGGTCTTTTTCAGCTATCATTAAAGCATTTAAAGCTTCCAAATCTCTTTCAATTTAGTAATGCCCTGACCTCTACTGGTGATGTAATGGATATGGGAAAACAATAGAGAGTTTTACAATATTTAAACAGTACATGTGTTTCTGTATTATACTCACCCAGGGACTGCTTGGCTTTAGAGATGGTGAAAGTGGTGATTTCATAGTCCTCAGGTGCCAGAGTTGCTCTTCTTTTCACACCATGAGCATTTTGTGAATGTCCATTTAGCTGCTGACTGCTTGCTCTGCCTCTGGATGGACTCTTGTCTCTCTGGGGCTCAAATACATCAGCCAGAGGGGTTCTCCCTCGCTGCCGCAAAGGAACATGTACACTGACCTCAGTGTAGCCCTCCTGTCTATTCAGTCTGCCATCTATGCTGTCAGGACTCATCTCCCTCCTCGCTCTCCCACGGCCATTCCTCACAGGCGACCTCCCACGTTCAGGAGCCACGAACGAGCCTCCTCTGTCAGACACCGACAACAAGGAGACCTTGTCATACTGCGATGCCCCGTTCTCTCTTCTGTTTGGGCGTTGGGGTTGGTGCCCACGTTGGGTGCTGTGTGGGGATCCTGTGAGGAGGGAGCTGTGGGTGGGTGAGGGGCTCAGGGAGCGGGAGTGCACAGTGGAGGAGGCGTAGTTGTCCACAGGTACATCCAAGAGAGGGGTGAAGGCACGTGATGGAGGCAGATGGCTGGACTGATGGCCGGACAAGCGTAGTCTCTCCAACTCCTCAATCAATTGACGCTCCCGCAGTGTGTCCTGGACCGGCTGGAGGTGGAACCCACCCCTGTAGTCTGTGCAAACATAAAAACATGAAAGTTTAAGTTTATTTCAGATGTGGAACTTTTGTAGAACTTCAGAATATAAATACTGTAAAGAGTCAAAACAGCCGGTCAGCATGAGTTAAAAAAATCCTCCACCAGTTTAAAAGAAGGATCAAAGTTGAGCAGCACAATCAGAGATCTTTTTTTGTCCCATGCATTCTTCTTCCATGTCAAAACCCAGCTCCTACATTACCCACAATACATTTACCACCGACAGTTCGGTTTGGATATACGGGTGTTATGGCTATGGCTATTGTAGCCTTGAGCTGCTGGCCTCCAGTTACTAGCCTCAAGCAGAGCCTCTAACGCTGCCCCAGATTTCGCACAGCTCCCTCTGGAGCCACCAAATGCTTTATACAACTTTATTCATATATGCAGTAATACTCTCTAAGAGCTGTTACTATACTTTGATGTGTAAAATTAGTGGAGTTCCCCTGTAAATTCTGAGATATTGAGGCTAAAACAAGCTCCATTAGTACTGAGCTACCTTTTAGCATTGTCATCACAATTGCAATTTCTACATTATATGGTGCAAGGAGTTTTACTTCCTCAATGGGCATATTTAACTGTAAAAAAACAACATTGTTAGCTATAAGCATTACATACATGCGAAGGATGCAAGGATCACAAGGATGTCCTTTGAACGGCAAAAAGTGGGTGATTTAACACTAACTACATTGTCTGAATAACAAAATATGGATTGGATTTCATTTTAACATTTGGACATAGAAATGTAGGAATAAAATAATGGACAATAATACTAAATTGTCAGGGACAACAACAACAGTATAAAAGAACAAAACAATATAATTTTACTGTAAAATAGGGATATACTGATGGGACATACGGATAAAATAAGCACTCTACCGACCACTAAAACCAGCAGATGTGTATATGTTTCTTCTTTCCCCTACAGGATCAACTATATTATTTGATGAGGTTTAATTCAACAGTTTATTGAGAAGTCAGGGAGAAAAAATTTCAAAGTCTGCACCCTTTTGTGATGCGATGTCAGCCATCTCAGCTTTCCAAAAACCGGCACCTCATTGATGCCTTGTCAGCTTCCTTCTTCTTTCATATTGTTGACCCCGTGACCCCTAACCTGTGACTTTAGAGAGTCAGATCGCTGCAGTCTGTCTAAAGTGAGACTGTATTGATTGTGTCTCACTGACTCTTGAATGAGAAAAGGCATGATAAAAGCACTGTATTGTTGTAGTGTCACATTGGCCAACCAGGCACGTCTCAGTCCTTTCTGTTGGCCACAGAGATGTAACACAAGCCTCTGCTTCAGCGCATGCACAGGAAACATGAGATATTCTGTGCATGGTAATGTGTGTATATCTGTGTGCATATGTGTGTGTGTGTGTGTGTGTGAGAGGTTTCAGCTTCTCTGTGTTTCTCAGATTCCTCTGGGATTAGTGAAAAGCCAGCAACCAGACAGGAGAGGAATCCATAAGAAAGAGGTGAGGTAAAAAAAAGTCAAAGGGTGAGAGTAAGAGGGATACAGCCCATGTACCTGGGATTGGAGTGATGAGGTGACGTCGAGGGGTTCCACCGCGAGGGGAGCGCAGAGCTGGAGAACGTACTAAGGAGAAATAAACAACTAAAAATATAGCATTGATTTTTTTTTGCTGTGTGTAATATTACCTGCTTTTTTGGACATCTATATTTCTTACTCATTTATCTCTTTCATGTGAACAGGAAATAGTGTATTAACGTCAAGTTGTATGAATTAAAAAAGAAAATCAGAAAAAGTGATATTAAGTACATTTGTCTGCTTACCAGAGCGACTCTTTAGAATATCGTACGCTTCCAGCTCAAAGGGCATGACCATGCTGTCAAAACGACCCAACTCAGTAGTAGGTATCAGCATTCTGCAGAGGATATGATCAGAGTCGGTTAGATTTACTCACATACATATTTATACCTACAGAATTTACACATTTAATCAGTAATATACTGTACACTGTATCTCACCTTATTTCTCTGAGAAGTAGTAGTTTCTCTGGCCTGTCCAAGATTGCCAAAAGGGGACGTACTAAATCATCAATAACATTGTCGGACAAAAACTGGGGGAAAGATTAGATTTGTACACAAATTAGAGGAGAAGAATAATGAACCAACCAGTGTCACTCCACCGATGTTACACATGAAGTTCTGTTTACTTGTCACAAGAAGTACTACTCAGTAGTACAGTTTTCCAAAGTTAGAAAAAATAACCCTAATGATATCATAGTGATGTCATCAGAGTTGTCACAGGTTAAACTTTTAACAGAAAGTTTGCGTTACAAACTGAAGGGCAATCTCAATGTCCACACTCACAGTGGACTCATGTTCCCGGTAAGTCTGTGAGGTCTTGGGGCTGAACACATGAAATCAGAGCAATGCAATAACCTTATTACACACCTAGTCTATTCAACTATTTATTTTAGTTTTTGCTCAGTGGTGCTGTTTTGACCACCAATATTACATTTATTATTGACAAATATAGATAATTACTGGCAATTAGCTCTCATTCACTTTGTAGGGCAAGAACCTGCAAAAAGTATAAATCAGGCAGTTCGTCCCAAAAAACATAAAATAAAAAGTCCCAAACCCACAATTGTGTGCAACATGTTTCAGCATTTTGAAGTTAACATGGCAAAGTGCTGTGCCATTCCCATTTATTGCATTTTGAGCCCTTGCAGCCTCTTGCACTCAATCACTTGCCAGGTGACATCAGTTAAAGGTTCAGTGTGTAAGTTTTAGTGGCACCTAGTAGTGAGGGTTGCGTATTGCAACCGACTGCTCACTGTGCATTCACATGCTCCTCGCATCGTCCCATATCCAATTAATTCTAAAGCAAAATTCTACATTCATAAATGTAAATTCAATAGTAAAAACTTTGTACCTTTTATGCACAAGGTTGTACATTATATCAATTTAATTTCTAAATCCAACAACAAAAAGGCTGTGAAAACTGTCTTCTTTTAATATCTTTATTTCATATACAGGTGAAAACCAAGTATTGAGTACATATGCATGATTATACTTTTCAGAGGGATGACATTTCTGTATTTATAATCCTTTTTTTTATTGATTTCATGTAATATTCTAATTTTCTGAGATTTTGAATTTGGGGTTTTCATAAGCTGTACGCAATAATTATCGAAATTATATCAAATAAAGGCTTGAAATATCTCACTTTGCATGCTTTTAAGTTGAATTACTGAAATAAATGAACTTTTGCACAATATGCTAATTTTTCGAGTTTCACCTGTAGAATACCCCTAGCAAAGTTTCAATTATTTGTGTCTTCTTATATATTTGTAAACTGTTCTGTATACTTCTTTATGTCCCATGTACACTTTATTCCTCTCTTTGTAGTGTGTGTATATGTATATATATATATTCCATTTGCAGTAAGATTTAAGGTGGGGATTCAAATGACTGCACCATCAGTCACCACTGACCTCTCCCTTTGCAAGCACACAGGAGAATCTATGGTGGCGGACACGCTCTGTTGGCTTTTGTGCTAAATAATCCATGTAGTCCTCCATTTGTCCAAATTTCACTTCTCTTTTTACTTCTAACAAACCAGAAGACTACTGCTATTACAACTACTTCTTCTTCTTCTTTGTATGTATGTATTCAACATAGTGACAAAAGCACTCGGTTGAGCAGTTTGTTCATTTGGGCTACTGTAGAAACATGGCGGTGACTTCAATGTAAGGGGACCCGCGGTGTAAGTAGATAGAAATGGCTTACTCTAAGGTAATATAAGAACAATGGTTCATTATGTAAGGTCTTTGTACACCACTGAAAACACAGTTATGCATATTATGTTGCATTTCTGTCAATAGATCCTCTTAAATATTACACACTTGACCTGTATCACTGTGAGGGTTCAGGGCTTAGGGTTTAGGGGAGACACTGAGAGTGGGCCATGGTGTGGGGTTTGAAAGAAGTGAACATTTAGGTGGCAGGGAGTGTTTCATAAAATACATTATCCAGGTGTTTTATGGGACATGAAGGACCCACAGTTTTTTGAGATGAAAAGTCAGGATATCTTACCATCTGCTGCATCAGTTTTTACTGTTCTTTTTCAAATCTGTCTCTAGTGAGTCCCCCAACTTCATAGAAGTGCAATACTAAATTGCTGTTGTAGCCTTTTAACTAATGGTTAAAATCATGACTGCAGTGTTTCCTCAAAAAGCATGTGGACTGAATCCAAAATGTGCTTATTTATGGTAGGTTGCCTCCAGACAAGACAGTGTATTTTCATGATTGGGAGGTGATATGTTGCATGTACATTAAATATTTACATTCCCAAGAACACCACTACACTGCTGTTTTCAGTCCTTGGTGTTTAATTACTGTATTAACAGGTAAGTCATACTGTGCTCTAAGCAGACTCAATATATTCTGCAGTGGTGGCAAAGGGCCGGCCATAGAGTTGATCCCCTGAAATTGGCAGATGAGAGTGAGATTGACTGAGAGAGACAAGCGGATCAAATGATGGTGATATTTGATCCTAATCATAAATGACAGGCCAAATCTGTCTTTTGTCATAGCCGCTGCCAGACACATCTATCACTAAAGGACACTTACAGACACAGGGAACAATACTGCACACTTAAGCCTGTAAGTAGTCCGGCTGGTTTTCATTCAGTGGGAGGAAAAACACACACTGCAGAGTGACACTGAGGTGTTAGAGACTGTAATTTCAGATTGGGAACTCACCCGCTGACAGTGTCTCATTACAGCAGCCACCTCATCCTGGATGAGCAGTTTTTTTGCCATGTCCTCCACTTGCTGCAGGGTCTCTGGTCGGGGCAGTGGGCTGCTGTCTTTAACCCCAGCACGGGATTCCCTTGGGGAGGTCAAGAGCTGGAAGTGACGATCCCCCTCCTTATCTAAAGCATTAAAGTGAAAACTGACATGAACACAATGCAAACAAGAAAATCTGCAGATGAAAAAAAAAAAACAGTTCATTCATCATCATTCATTACCTTTATACTAATGGTCACTAAGTTCAAGAACATTTAAGAAATTTATTACATTTCAAGATTCAGTGGATACAATGCTAAATCATTTTTAATGTGCCAGTGCCATGTGTTTCAGTTTGTCATGCACATGCAAGCGCCAAGCCCACATGGACTTATAAGACACCACAAATACTGTTGCAGTGATGAAACCTTTGTCAGACCCGAACATGTCTTCTTACATATAACATTACATTGCAAACAAAGAACTTGCTCTATAAGCTCTATAAATACAATCTGCAGCAAAAAATGTGCCTAAAACATAATTCAAGTTTTTTACCTAAGTATTTTACTGAACAATTAAGCTGTTAAATCAACATATAATTAAATGAATCAATAATCAATAACATTAACTCGTTAATATCACCTAAAGCATAAACACATATTTTCTTTTCACATAGATAATCATAAGAAAACTGTGCACACAGAGATCTTTGACTTTAGGTTAATTTCAGCTTCACATAAGGCTCTACACACTGTAGTTGTTTTGAATGGGACAATATGTTTGTAATTTAGGTTTGTACCAAAGATCAACAAACCAAATAGGTTTGTTTGTGAGATGCAGAATATGTCCTGTGACCATGCCCTCACCTTTGTCAGCATTGTGAGACGGTGACTTGGAGCGATTCTTGTCTTTACGGTCTTTCTTAAATAACAGGTTGACAAAGGTTTTAGATCTCTGCAGGCTGGTTTTACCCTCTCCTGAGCTCTTCTGCTTCTGTTGCCTCTTCTTCTTTTGTCTGTCCTCTACAGGTGGAAATTAAGAAGACAAAAAATATATTCAATGCCACGTACCTTCGAAATCAAAAAATATAGTCAATATAGGTACATTTTCACAGCAAAATTCAGCGAAATATGATTTTAACGGATTTTAATATTGTGTGTGAAGTCTGCTCAGACTTTCACCTGTTAAATTACATTGACAAATTTAACTAAACAAACTTAACTAAATCTAACAAAGAGTATGCAGTTACATGTAATCTTTGCAGCAGTTCTATCTTGTTCTTTGAAAATCTTCCATAAGAATAGGACAATCTGCATCTCTGTATATACTGTACATAATTTATAAAGCTTTGCACTGCTCCACGCTTAACTGTTAGCCAATAACAGTAGGTGATACACACTCTCTACTATGAGTATAGACTGTTCATTTCTCTTCCAGTCAGCTCCTCTGTTCACTGCAGTAAATCTGCCAGCGTGGAAAGTAACACAGTAATACTGATGAATTGGGGCTACACTAACCTGTACACACCCCCATCTATTGAGGACACTACAACGAAGTGCTCTAGCTTACATAACAAATGACCAATCAGCCCTGGGCTTCGCCCCAAGCCCCCGCCAGGTCCTGGAGGTATGAATGAGCTGGATAAATTGAAAAGGAAAGGCTAATAACTCAACAGCCCAGCCAAGGCTTGGATGGATATTTCTCCATATGCTTGTTCTTATTCATTTCTCACAGGGGTACAACAAGTGAGAGTAAAGGGCAGTGATTAATCATGAGTCTGCATTAACTTTGTGCTCTTGGACAAATTCTTAAATCAGCCATATGGAGTTTGGATGTTCTTGTTCACTTCCTGGAGTGATAGAGGGATGAAGGGTCATTAAACTGACTGATGCCCTGCAGAAAGATCTCTCGAGGGTTTGAGAGTGGATGTCATTACACAGTGAATGCAGGTACTGTCACAAAGAACTGAACCTGATTGTGGCTGCAATACTCACCGGGCTGTGATTCTGGAAAGGTTAATTTCTCAACTGAGATGGATGATGCTGCCACTGTATAATCAACAACCACTCAAGAGATGGCAATGTCGATTGGTCGGCCAACCACTTTCCAGACTAAAATATCTCAAAAACAGCTGGTGCAAACTTGTACAGAAAGCCTGTACACTGTGAACTGTGATGATGATAGCACCACCAGGTAAAATGTGTCCAGTACTTTGATTTATGACTAAATGTATTAAAAATGAATGACACCCCCATCAGCCTCATCTGCACTTTGTTTAGTGCTGCTTTGCATTGATGAAAACATGTCTGTTTTTTTAACTGTACAGAAATGACAACCAGTAGTACACATAGAGGACAGAAAGAACTTCTTACATCTCTATAACTCATATGACATATTATATCATCAAATCTCAGAAGTTACCTGAAATTGACCTTTCTGCTTACACCATCCTCACACAAATAAACTATGCATCACTGAACACTTTAATGCAAATGTTCAGTCTAACGGTTTAGTTTTGTTTAGAATTAGCATTATAGCCTCACAGAGCCACTAGCTTGCCTGTACTCTTAGTTTTGTTTGTATATCAACAAATATGTTCTGATAATCCCTGAGCATCCCTTGAATTTGTTTTTAAAAGAAATGTGACCAAAATATTTCCTGGACATTCTGCACTTAATAAATTTGTTCTCTGTAGTTTTTTAGTTTAGGAGAAACTATGTAACGGAGACACTGTTCAGGTCTGTATGAGCCAACAAATACAACGACAGTTTGGACTGGTGGACACACCTCCACCACTCTTGTTCTCAACACTGTGCTCAGCCCCCTCCTGTTCACGCTGTAAACCCACTTCTGCATCCCTCGACATGAAGAGAACTCTTTTGTGAAGTTTGCGGATGACACCACCATCAACACCACCTGATGTCAAACAACAATTAGACTGCAGATCGGGAGGAAATTGAGAATCTTGCATATGCATCTTGCAATGGTGCTTAGAGAACAACTGGCTGCTCAACGTCAGCAAAACCAAGGAGCTGATTGTTGATTTCAGGAAAAAGGAGATAAAGACACACACTCCTATCTACATCAGTGGTGCTGAGGTGGAGCAGGTGAACAGTTTCAGGTTCCTGGTAATCAGCATCACAGAGAACCTGACATGGTCATCTCACATCTCTACGGGAAGAATATCCTGCCATGAATCAAATTTGAAAATAAAGTTCTGAAAGGTTGAAACTAACTGTTTGAAAACTCAAAATTCTACCAAAAAAACTTTTGCAAGATCGAAAACTAAGATTTGCAGGCTTGCAAAATGCTAAAAAATAAAATAAAATCTCTGAAAACATTATGTTGTTTTTGAGTTTTCCTTCTTCAGAACTTTTTTTTAACATTTTACAATGTTGCACAAACAGTTTTTCAGAGTTTCAATTTTTCAGTGCTCCCAGAGTATTAGTTTGTTTTCCAGGTTTGAAACCTTGTAAATGGTGATCTGATAACGGGTGTGCAAATGTGTGAAAAAAGGTTTTAAAACTCTGAAAATTGAGGTTCGAAAGTGCGAAACTTTATTACATTACTTTACATTTGCTCTCATATTGCAGACTATTTTTCAGAGCTGAGTTTACAACACCCACTTTGCTGAGATACGCTTACACAGTTGCGAGCTTGCAACTCATGATTTGTAGCAGCGTTGTCACGCAGCTCTGCTCTGAAACTCTGGCTTAGCGAAAATGAGGCTTCGCAACGTCGCAACTTAAAAAAAAGCCTGCTCTTAGCCAATGCTTGGCTTTCTGCTGAAGTACAGTCCAATCACAAGTCGTATTTACTGGATAGAGGGATTGACAGCGGTGAGTAAGAAATAGTATAAATTACATGTAATTTGTTAAGCTATGAGGAGATGGAAAAGCTGCTAGCCGCTAGGCTCATTTATGCTGTGGAACCTTTTTATATACAGTCTATGTGTGTAACATGCCATATAGGCTTAAACTATCAATGGTGACTATCAACCAGGCAAATCTCGACAGTAAATGTATGCTTTTGTTAAATGTGATTATTCTATTAAACCACGTTTTATGTGTGGCAGTGGAGACATTTTAAAGTTTACTTTTACAGCACTTAACCTTGTTGTTTTTTCGTTTATGGCCTAAAGCACAGAAGATGAGGCAGCATGCTGTGGTCATCACTCACAGGAGGACGAAAAGAAGGAGGAGGAGGAAAGCAACAGAAAAAAATAACTTCAAAACAATAGAATAAATACGTTTTAATCTACCCACGTCTTGTTGTCTATGTGTAAATACAGAGTTTTAAAACTTTTTTCACACATTTGCTCAGATCACCATGTACAAGGTTTCAAACCTAGAAAACAAACTAATACACTGACAAATTTGAACCTCTGAAAAATTGTTTGCACAACATCATAAAAAAAATGTTGCAGATCTGAAGAAGGAAAACTCAAAAACAACATATAATGTTTGCAGAAATTATTTAGTTTTTTTTTTTTGAACTTTTTGGGTAAGATTTTGAGTTTTCAAACACTTAGTTTCAACCTTTCAGAACTTCATTTTCAGTTTTGATTCATGGTATTCTTCCCATAGGTGAGGTGCTTACGCAGAGCCCAAAGGATACTAAAAGACAGTACCCACCCAGCCACAGCCTGTTCACCCTGCAGCCTTCTGGGAAGAGATATAGAAGTTTCTGCTGTGGCACCACCAGCCTGCAGAGCAGCTTTTCCCCCCAAGCTATCAGACTCTTAAACTCAAATTCATCCTCAGCACTGCTCCATTGAATATAATTTATCTCTGTTTATCATTTTTATAATTGCTTAACGTATATTGTCTGCTATGTAGCAGAAGGGAGTTACTAAATATCACTCCACAACCTGTTGTATTGTGACAAATTAATCAACCTTGTACCTTGCTCATATCGGCTGATTCATCACCCCAGCCTACATATTAGTGGGTTGGTTTCTTTAATGTATATTACACCGAAGTCTATAAAGCAACCTTACATCCACTATTTAACTCTCTTAACAATCCCAGTGCCTGCAGGTCTCACCTGACATGGTGATGTGGCTCTGGGAACGTCTGATTGGCTTCCGTGGTCTGCTCAGGGCCATCAGCGCTGCAGTCTTAGGGGAGTGTTTCACTACTTCCTGGTCCCCAGATGACAGCGTCCTGGTCCGTCCTCGCCCTCCTTCCCCTGCTCCTCCCATCTCCCTCGGACCTTCCCCTTTCCCACGTATGACTGTGTCCTTCAGCAGCAATGTGGCACCTATAGTCCGGCTGGTTTCTGTGGCAGTCAGCCTGTCGGGGTACGACCCACTAGGCGAGGGGTGGTCCAGGTAATTTGGAGGGTGGGGGTCAGTCTGTATGGCGGTATCAGCAGTTTGCTCTGCGCTGCTTGGATGTCGGGAGCGGTCCTCTGTGGAGATGGCGACGTCTACCATCTCAGAGCCAAAGACAGGAGGGAAAAGGACCTGGGAGAGACCACTGAGGGAGCTGAGAGGGGTGCTGGAGGACAACGAGGAGACAGAAGAGTTGGAGTCTGAACCCTGGGAGGATGGTGCAGGGCCCCCATTGGCTACTGTAGAAAACAATCCATAATTAGAATGAAGTGTGAGGATGAGTGTGTGTTTAAAATATTATTATGCAAGTACAATACCTTGTGAAACCGATTGCTATACGTTATCACAACACACACACAGTAAAGCTGCAGTACATAGTGAATATGATTTGCACAGAAAGCTTCATGTCCTTCTTTGTTTGGATCAGTGCATGTCTGCCCTCATGTTCTGTTAATCCTCTAAACCTTTGAGGGACAGAACATGAACCAGGAGTCCTTCTGTTTTTTTAGTTGTTGTTTTTTTAATAAAACTCCAAAATGACTCTGCATCTTGACCCAGATGTTAGGTCATGATCTGTTCCAGATGACTGAGCTGCCTTTGAGTACAGTGAATTAATCCCTGTTCAGAAGTACTCATATCAAACAAGGAAAACAAGGAATTTGAGTCTTGTGAAGGAATTGAATGACAGGGTTTTATTGTAAGCAGGTTACATGTGGCCAATGTTCCACTTTTTTAAAGAAGATTTCTGAGTAGAATCCAGCATGTGGCTTTGCAATCAGAAATTAGAATCACAAATTACAAATTACCAGGTCTCAACTTCATTAATTTGTTCTACAATATTTAGTTTAGTGCAGGTAATTATTTTTACACCACTGTTGAATTCATTATAATCTTTTAAAAATCTTTTTAAATACTATCTCTGTGTTGTAAAAACAACTTTTTCCAAACACTCTTTTGGAATAGTCAACGTACATTGGTCGAGCCAGCCGTATTCTGCCACCATCTCCTTGTATGCAGGGTATCTCCCAGCTTCCTGTTAAAGTGCGGAAACACAAAATATTCAGGAAGAACATAAACAGTCAACATAATAATACAAGAAAACTACAAATTGCATTTGTCTACACCTGACGCTTACGAAGTAGAAGTTCCCTTTCCTTGAATATCAGTTAACAACAGCTAAAGTTTTTATTTACATACATTATTTACATTTAATTTTTTTTACTGTATATTTTTAATATTGTAGGTGATGGCTACTTGTCTTGATGGTTACAGATATTCATATTGTCCAAATTCACAATAAGTAGCTATTGCTGTTTTCAACATCTGGAATACATGAACAAGCATCTACAGCCTTGCTAGCGGCTCTGTGAGGTTGGACTTACTGTAGGCACAGTGATGCTTTAAGCTAAACGCTAACAATGACACTGTTAACATGCAGGTGTTTAGTAGGTGTAATGTTTACCATGTTCACCATCTTAATTTAACATAGCATGCTAACATTTGCTTTATTAGCAATAAACACAAAGTACAACTGAGGCTGATGGGAATGTCATTAGTTAGATATCTGGTTATGAACCAAAGTATACAAATGGAAATTTTGACCTGGTGACAGCGCTATATGAAAAGTTTTGGATCACCAATGTTACCTGAATGTCTGTATCAATTTCTTGCCAATCCATCTTCTAATTGGTGAGACATTTCACTCAAATGTGAACCTGCTGGTGACGCTAGATGGGACCACCAAAGCCATTAAGATTCATCATCTGGGAACCATGAATGTCACCACCAAATTTAATGATCAAAGGACCAAAGTGGCAACAAAAATATTTTCCATGTTAATATGCAATAATCTTCATGACAAAGCCTCTCTCGCAAAGAGTGGAGGCTACTCGCAATAATTGATACATTTTGTTTGAAGTTCACCTAATGTGACCCCCCCACACCGTTTCTCAGACTGCCTGCATTTAGAGAGAGCACGAGAGAGAGAGAGAGAGAGAGCATTGCTCACAGCTTCAGGGCTTCTCCGCGACTTCTGAATTGCAAAATTGTAATCAGTATATTTAAATATAAATGTTGTCGGTCAGTGTCTATGTATTAACACAAACGGTTAACAGTCGCCGCACAGTAGTGAGAGAATATCATGACACCTGACGCTGTGTCCTGCTGTTTCTTTCCCCCTCGCTCTAAGACACAACTGTTTCTCCAGGATGCTTTATTCCCTCTAAAGCGGATGTGAGCTGCATTTTATCAGAAGTGCAGAAGTAAACATTTGTGTGGAATTGTGGTGATATAGTGATATAGTCTGATCACAAGTGTTTTCAGTTTCGGTTTTCTTCCTCTGATGAAGATCAGTGCGCTCGTCTCATTGAGTAGACTACAGTCCCAGACGGGCTCTGTGTCTGTCAGAAGGTCTAAAGGGGGTAGCCTCAGGGGTGGACTGGTAATCTGGCATATGTGTAGTGAACAACGGTGTGGATTTGTGCATTTTACATGGAATAAATGTGGAGCTACCCTAAATTCCTTTCTCCTCCCCAGAGAAGAAGGGGAGGGGTCAAAGTTGCTTTCTCTAAGTGCTATCCCGACCATAAAACTGGCACCTTTTTGATTCCGAAGCTGATAACGCGGGGCCTGACTGTTAAACTGACAAAGGGACACGAGCCAGCCATTGGCATCTCCCTGAACAGCCTATCAAAACTGGCCCCCCACACACGTTTCCGTGGCAACTGACCTTATTCTTTGTTTGATTACCACATCAAAGGGATACTCCTTGTCTCACCTAAGTGTGACATGGTCCAGACACTGAACTGGACTGCAATCTCCAAAGACTCAAAGTTTAATTAAATCTTTAGTTACCTGATTACGTTTGCCTCTATTTGAGTAGTTATGTTAACTGTTGTTGCTATCTGTTGTTTATTAGTGCTGAAAAGAAGTTACTTGTGCAGTGTTTTTATGTTCAGCAAGACACTCCTTCATCTAATGTAATCCAAGCTTTCCTCATGTAACCTGAGCTCCCCCAAGTGGACGAAATAAGTATTACATGCCCTCGTCGGAAATGCCGTTAAATGTATAAATATCCTGACCAATAATGTGACAACTGTTTCCTGTTACCAAATGCTTAGAACAGTACAACCGTTCAACCATTGAGGTTCGATTGTGGAAAATGTTTGATTATAATACGTGCAAATAGATTTCTTTTAGACATTAAGTTTAGAAAGGCAGTCCCTTGGGAAACCTGAGACGCCCCCTGGGAACCACGCCCCAGGCAACAAAAGAGCGACACGCGACCTCGCTTCGCTCTCTCTCTCGCTTTGCTGTTGGCTCTTCCACCCTGCTCGGCCCTCTGGACGTTTCGGCACGAGCAGCGTGCCTCGCCAGGCAACGCCCAGACTCGGCCAGCGAAACAAACAGGCCCTTTTGTTCGCTTGAAGCTACACACCTGAAGTGCCGCGACATCGATCTGCCTTCAGTTTGTTTTATTTTCTTCATTTCTTTTGTTTGTTAAAGTTATCAGTCCGTTAAGTTACACTGGACTAATTCAGGAACGACCAAGTTCCATTTTAAGCCTTTTTCGTCGAAGCCAACTTCACAGAGGTCAGACCAAGCCACGTGGTCTCGCCAGCTACAACGAAGGAAACCTGAAAACAGCCGAATTGCCAGACGGAGGAGGCGTTTTCAATCAGACACGGAGAACCTTGGAGAATCCCTAGCAAAAAGCCAGGATCGGCAGCTAGCGTGGGACCCGTGCAACAGGCCAAAAGCAGACTGTCGACAAGCAGTAAGACTTAACACATGTTCTGTGATCAGATGTCCATTTTAACTCCTAAATTATGACATTAGTTTACTTTCATTAGCTCTTCTATGCCGTATGAATCAAATGCTTCCCACAATCGAACCTCCAGGCTCATTGTTCAGCAAATGTTTGTTCCCTGTATCCAACCATCTTTTTATCACCTTAGTTAGAGAATAAATTCACTGTAATATAATCAAGAGGTGTGTGTGTTGCCTATTTATAGTTCCTGCCAAGAGAATTGACCCTTTAGATATGAGACTGACTGACTGATTTAAGATAATTGAGCGATTATTAACTAACTGATCACTAGTAATAATTGTATAATTATTCAAAACTACCTAGAGGTCCGGAGACTCTAGGATTATAACAACTCCGGTGGTGCCCTTAACGAGGAAATTTTGATTTTATGAATTTTAATTCATAATTGGGTATCAATTCTCATAAATTTATTAAAATGCATAACTAATAAATTTAGGTCTACTACATATGCTACCGGCAGACGAACCTTTAGGGCCGGTGTTATGTAAAAAAATCGCCAAATTCGTGAAAATAACCGATATGTTTGGTACTGGAGCTGCAGTAGCTTCAACATCAGCTGCATAGCCTACCCTGCATAGAGCAGGCACTTGAAGAGGAATAAAGGAGAGCCGTGGCCACTGAAAAATAGCTTGCACCAAGTAATGTTAATTAACAAATAAAATGCTATGAGAAAGGTTTGTTTGCACAATAATAAAACCTGCAATGCAATATAAATATATTGAATATAAATATATTTTTAAAAAGTAACTTAAGGTAAAAAAAGAATAAGCTACCGCATTACATTCTATTATATTTTTCAATTCTGAATTGTCGCCTGCCACCTAACTTGCGGGGGGTGAAAACATGAAAGATTTCTGGGCTGGGCTAAGCCCCCAATGTTTCAAGAGCCTGGAAACGCCCCTGGGCACCACTACTGCTCTAAGCATTTTGCATTAAGAATTAGTGTCCAGTAGCCTCTCAAGTCTATTTTAAGGAATTGTATCACCAATACACAGCTTAAGGTAAAAGAGAATACACTTAAAGTTACATCTACATTTTCTTTCAGAAGCCTTGGATGCCCAGGTGTGAGAGAGTTGAGTAACTAAAATTAACCCTGGCCCCACTATGTTTGACTGTGACCCACAAGCAGATACAGCTAATACAGGGCAGAAGGAAGACATAAAATTAAGGTTTTGTGTCAATTATAACCTGATCCCTGACTGCCTTTGAATAATGAACGTCGTCCCTGGCTGTTTTTCACACGTGGAACCTGAGATCAGAGGAGTAAAATGAGCATGCAGCAATGTTAGTAAGCTAAGAGAGCCCACATACACACAGTCAAAACACACCGCACAACACACTTCTGCCAATTCATACACACAATTCTTTTGTCTGAAAATGACACAGGTTAAGTGGCACGGCCTTGCACACATGCATGCGTACACAGACACACATAAGGAATGAAAAGGACTGTAAGCCAGCTGACTGCCATATCATAACATTGGCATATCACCTTCTGAAGCTGATGTGGTTAAGTTGTTGGCAAAATGTTGCTTATTTACACATCCAACCGACATGGAGCTACATCAGCCTTCATTTGGAGCAGTGTTCCTGTCCATCAGATGAATGTAAGTCCAATATTCACTCTCCTTTTAGCTCTTTTTTACTCTCCACCAAATCCATATAATGGCACTTTTCCACCACATGGAACCAGCTCAACTTGCCTCTACTCACCTTTTTTTGCTTTCCATTGGGGAAAAATTGTACCTGGTACTTTTTTTCATATCATCTCTGTTGAGGTTCCAAGCGAGCTGAGGCGATACCAAAAATGACGTATAAACACTGCCTTACACTTGTCATCTTTTATGCAAGTACTTATAAGAGTGCTATTTTTCTCCTTTTATTATGCCTTATATATTGTTTTAAATCTTTAACCTGTTCCATCTTTATTATTGTTCTTGTTATTCCAGTCTGTCCACACGTGTGGGGTTTAGGTCAGGGATGTGGGGTTGTTGATTGTTTTCCTCACTAGCTGGTCTTCTCCTTCCTTGACTGGGATCAGTCAAGGATCTTTTGTTCCCCACAACATAGATGCTCAGACTGTCTAATGATCATGCAATTGTTTGCTCTGGGCCAGACGTTAGTGACTGTCTTAGGAGACAGAACCTCTGGTCCAGCTGATTCTGTTGTAGTACTTCTCTGTTTATTCTCTTTTGTTAAATAAA